GGCTGCTGGGCGGCTCGGCTGCTGGGCGGCTCGGCGGCTCGGCTGCTGGGCGGCTCGGCTGCTGGGCGGCTCGGCGGCTCGGCTGCTGGGCGGCTCGGCTGTGCTGCTGCAGGGCGGCACGGCTGGGCAGCAGGTGACGGGGCCGCAGGTAAGGGCGGCGGGGCCGCTGGTAAGGGCGGCGTGGCCGCGGGTAGGGTGGCGGGGCCGCAGATAGGGTGGCGGGGCCGCAGTAGAGGGCGGCGGGGCCGCAGGTAAGGTGGCGGGGCCGCAGGTAAGGTGGCGGGGCCGCAGGTAAGGTGGCGGGGCCGCAGCAGAGGGCGGCGGGGCCGCAGGTAAGGGCGGGGCCGCAGGTAAGGTGGCGGGGCCGCAGGTAAGGTGGCGGGGCCGCTAGGTAGGGCGGCGGGGCCGCGCGATGGGGCGGCGGGGCCGCGAGGAAGGGCGGCGGTGCCGCTAGGTAGGGCGGCGGGGCCGTTAGGTAGGGCGGCGGGGCCGCGCGATGGGGCGGCGGGGCCGCGATGGGGCGGCGGGGCCGCTAGGTAGGGCGGCGGGGCCGCGCAATGGGGCGGCGAGGCCGCGAGGTAGGGCGGCGGGGCCGCTAGGTAGGGCGGCGGGGCCGCTAGGAGAGAGGCGGCGGGGCCGCGAAGACGGGCTGCGGGGCCGCGGAGACGGGTGGCGGGGCCGCAGTGAAGGGCCGCTAGGGCGGCTCGACGAAGTGAGGGCCCGGAGCGCGACTCGGGCTGAGCGCGCTTCGGGCAGGAAAAAAAAATCGATGTGGTGGGCCCTAAGCACAGTTCCCAAGGGGGAACCTGCTCGATACCATGAGAAGATTTGAACAAGAATGGGTGAACTATGAAATGAAGCGAGTACAAATATGAAACCCTAATTGGTTGTACCCCCTATGGGATACCCCACTATAGCCTACACAACAGCATAAGCTATAATGTTCTGACACAAAGCACGCTGGGTTGTGCGTGGATTCGATCAGGAGCACGGACGGGACTTCACCGAGACATTCGCCCCGGTTAGCCGACATACCTCACTTCGAATCCTCCTCGCGATCGCCGCCATGAAGAAAAGGAAGCTACGGCAAATCGATGTCGCCAACGCGTTCCTCTACGCACCTGTCGACGTGGAAATCTTCGTCGAGCTCCCACACGGTACCAACGGGGAACCTAACCAAGTCTGTCAACTGCTGAAATCACTTTACGGGATCAAGCAAGCTCCGCGGCTATGGCAAAAGTACCTACACGCTCGCCTCATTCGCATCGGATTCCGCCAACTACCTCACGACCAAGGAATGTACCGACTCACTAAAGACACCGACTACATTCTGCTGATCGTCTACGTAGACGACCTACTCTACATCGGCTCCACTGACGACATCACCACCTGGTTCGAAGGGGAGCTACAGAGGGACCTCACACTCACGGTCTTCTCTACCGTCACACAATACCTCGGCTTGAACATTCGGGAAGAAGAAGGCGCGATCTACCTCAACGCCGCTAAGTACGCCGACACCATCGCCAAACGCTTCGCGCTCACACCTACCACCATCTCTACGCCCTACCGCTACGCGACAGGAAACCACAAGGAAGGATCCTCTCTACTCAAATCCGCCGGGATACGCGACTACCAGAGAAAGCTAGGATGCCTTCTCTTCGCAGCTGTCACCTGCCGCCCCGACCTCTCATACTCCGCAAGCCAGCTCGCCACCTACCTCAAGAAGCCTGAAGCAGAACACCTGGCGGAGCTCGACCGCGCTCTCCACTACTTCGTCAGTACCTCAACGATCGGCCTAACTTACTACAAGAACACAACTACACCGACTAAATTAATCGGCTACGTCGACGCTGATCACGCTGGCGACTCCGACAACAGGCGCTCCCGCACCGGCTACATCTACCGCCTCGAACCTATCGGACCGATCTCCTGGCAATCGAGCAAGCAGGAATTAATTGCTCTCTCGTCAGCTGAAGCAGAATATATTGCACTCTGCTCAGCCACCAAGGAAGGACTCTATCTTCGCGAGCTGCTGGAAGAAGCGAAGTTAGCCGAGTTACCCAACTTCACTCTGTTCTGCGACAACCAATCTGCAATTCGCATCGCCAACAAAAATGGATTCGCGAACAGAACGAAGCATATCGCTCTGCGATATTTCTTCGTGAAAGACGAGATTGAGAAGGGGAGACTTGAACTATCCTACTGTCCCACGTCCGAGATGGCAGCTGACTACTTGACCAAGAAGCTCGGAAAACAGAAGTTCGAGTACTGCATGCTGCTGACTGGACAAAGCCACGTCACCAGCAGCGACACTCCAGAAGCGAAGGGGAGTGTTGGGAACAAACAATCTTAAGCGCCTCTGTCGTGTCGAAACACCAAGGCACAAGCGAAGCAGAGCATATCGAGGCACCAGCGAGTCAACCCTCGGAGGTTGAAGTAACCGCTGGAGGTTACGCGAAAGTCAAAGGTCAGCGACCTTTGACTTGACAAATGCAGCGCGACAGCAAGGACACACAACTGACTCGACATTGAGCAGTTGCCCGAGTCGCACTGTATCGAACCGCAACAGTAAAACAGTTTGATTATATCTCTTCGTATTCTTTGTACTCTTATATAAACCTTTGTACTTGCTTGTTTTAATCAACTTACTTTGCCCTCACATACCAGCGCAAGGTGGTTCAAGGACTTCATTTAAACGCTTCCGCTACTACATCACTCTACCCAGAGTTTAACCCTACCAAAGATCCTAAGGGGCAGTCAGCCCAACTGCAGGTTCGGAGCATGTGAAAGCCAGTTTTGAACCTACAAACGGCTTTTGAACTCACAATAAAGATAATATTTCATAGGTCGTAAATAGCGCGTCTGTCGCAATCGTTGTAGGTTGTCCCGTTATCGGAAGGTGTAGAGTTCGATACTTTGTGCAACCATTTTACAAACCCATACAGAACGAACAACATTAAAGTTACAAGCATCAAGTTGTGTATAAGTTCTAAACCAGATAAAATATGTGTTTTTGCAAAACAGCTTCGCAACCCTAAGACGATTTCGTCGCCTCTTGTTTTTTTTTTGGGCTTTAAGGAGATCCCCGGAGGAAACCAACCCCCCGTAGGGAGAAGGCGCTTCGGTAAGCAGCATTATACCGGCTGTGCATTTAGTTGCTAAAACCCCCATTGATCACCAGAAGCGCGTGCCCCATTTCGGGGACAGCCGTACCCGGATGGGCGTTGGCTTCAGAGGGGACCTAAGGGAGCCCCATGCGTTGCATTCCCTTATTTATCACATGAGCTTGCCACTCCAAGTTCCAGTCTCTTTATGGGGGACCGTGTCGAGGACCAAGTGCGAGGCGATTGAGATGTAGTAGTATGTCCCTATCTCGAGTGCTCTCATAACTGTCATTCACACCGCTACAACTCGATACGTGCCGTACAATGCGGCGACGAGACGTCTTCCTTCGCACGAACGGGGACGACGGCGGGCCCGACGTGGAACCTTCCTTACAACAGCTTCCGAAGAACCAGACCGGCTTCAGCACTAATTCTCGTGACTTAGGCGGCGGCGGCGGCGGCGGCGGGGGGAAGCCACAGATTCTGTGGTCACGAAGCACGTCAATGAATGGCCGCGACATGCGCTTCATGGTCCAATGGGCGTCGTCCTCTGCTGCCACGTCACCCGGTGACCCGCGCTCCTTATTCCATTCGTCCGTCCCGGAGCACGGCACCACGCCGGACCGCGGGAATATTTCCTTTTCCTCCCGCACGCCGCTCGTTCCCACGCTTAGAAGGAATCGTTCTTCTAACACGTCCTCCTCGCCACCGCTCGGTACAGGCACACCCGGCGCTTCCGCCAGCGGCGCAGCCACCGCGACGCCTCCGGTAGGGAAATCCGCTTCCGCCAACGCCCGCTCTGCGACTGCCGCGCCGTTCCTTTCCGCCTCGCATTCCTACTCCTCGCGCGCAGATGATGAGCGCTTGCCCGCGCGAACCCGCGCCGAGCCTTCAGCCGCGGCAGCGGCAAATGCCCCCTGCCCGCATGCCGCCCCCGGCTGGGGGATGCCCTGCTCCGCGTGCCTGCGGCGCGCGCTGGAAGGAGGCGGAGCCGTTCCGCGCTCGTCTTCCGCGGAGGGTCGCGTGCAGCAGCGCTCTGCAGGGGGGGAAGAGGCTGGGAACGGGACGAGGGCTTCGGAAGGCAAGGCAGGAGGGCGGAGAGGGGAGGGAGAGGGGGAAAGCGAGTTCGATGGGGGAGGGAAAGGAGCGGAAAAGGGAGGCGACGGGGGGACACGCAATGCGCAATCAGTGAAAGGCGTCGCAAACAGTGGAAGCCGATTGGTTGGGGAACTGGAGCTGGCGACCCCGGTGAATCTGCGGCCAATCAAAACGGGCGTCAGTGCGAATGCTGCTGCTGCGAGCTTGGCATCCCCCCCATCCCCCCCACGTCCCCCATCTCCGCCATCCCCCCCAACACAAGCAATGGGGCTGGGAGGGAGCCTCTTAGGTTCGGCCAAGTCGTTTGCCCGGGCGTTTAGCTTCGGTGCCAAGGGAGGTCCGGTGACAGGTGCAGGTGGTAGGATGGGATTGCCTCGGCCGCGAATCGGCCCGTCCATGTCAGCTTCGGAGCTTCTCTCGTCCGTCCCTTCCTCCACGTCAGCAGCACTACAGGACAAGACGGCCACAATGCAAGAGCCGCAGAGAGGGTTATCTGGGGTGAGTTCATCTGGGGTAGGTGCGTCTGGTGTTGAGGCAGGCAGCGAGGCGTGGAGGAGGATAGGAGGCGGGGGCCCTGCTGCTGCCAGAACTGGCGCTGCTGCTCCTGCTGCTGCTGCTGCCAGAACTGGCGCTGCTGCTGGCGTTGCTGCCGCTACCACTGCCGCTGCTGCCGCTGTCGCTTCTGCCGGTGCAGCAGCTGCTGCTGGTGGCGGCAGCGGTGGCGGCGGTGGCGGTGGTGGTGGTGGTGGTGTAAGGGGTTCGTCTGGCAATCCCTGTGGTGATTATATGGGAGGTGCTTCAAACGGCGGCGGTGGAGAGAGCACCGGCGGCTGCGGCGATGGAAGGGCGCACAGGCACTTGAATGGGCATGGCGGGGAGGACTGGGGGGGCCGGGGGAACGGAGGGGGAAATGGGCGGGGGCATGGGCAAGGGAATGGGCAGGGGAATGGGCAGGGGAATGGGCAGGGTGGGGGTTGGGGAAGGGAGGCTGGGGAAGGGGGAAGGGGAGAGTCGGGGGATGGGGGAGAGCCGGATGGGGGAAGAGCGAGCAGTGGGGGGCGGGGGGGATGGGGGGAGAGAAGAAGGGGAGGTGGGGAGTGGGAAGAGGGGGACTGGGGGAGAGGACGATGGGGGCGAGAGGGGTGGGGGGGAGGGCCATGGGGGGAAGAGGGAGCGTGGGGAGGGGAAGGGGCTGGGGGAAGCGAAGGATCCGGGGGGTGGTGGGGAGAAGCAGCGGAGGGAAAATGGGATGGTGGGTGGTGGGGAGGGAGGGGGGCAGACAGGGGAAGAGGAGGATGGGGAGGAGGAAGAGGGCGAGAAAGGGAATGGGGAGGAGGAGGACGAGGAATGGGCATGGGCGACAGAGGCATGGGTATGGGCATGGGGGGAGGGATGGGGGGAGGGATGGGAGGGGCGGGTGGCGTGTCGGCCTGGCAGCAGCAGCGACCCTTTCCCGGTTGGCCTGGGGGCCCTGGGGGGTACCCGCCCTTCCATGGCTACTCTAACCGCAGGCCATGGTGGCAGCACTGCACTCTCTGGCTCCTCTGGATACTCGTAAGCCGCCCTCACCCCCTGTAAGGTCTATGGCTCCCGTGCCTTGCCTCTTTATCCCTCCCACTCTTCTTTCCATTGGCCCTCCTCTCCCTCCGCCCGCTTCCCTTCCTTCATCCCTTTCAACAGCAGCTCGCATTCCACACTCTCTCCCCTTCCTCATCCCCTCCTCCTCCTCCTCCTCCTCCTCCTCCTCCTCCTCCTCCTCCTCCTCCTCCTCCTCCACCTCCTCCTCCTCCTCCTCCTCCTCCTCCTCCTCCTCCTCCTCCTCCTCCTCCTCCTCCTCCTCCTCCTCCTCCTCCTCCTCCTCCTCCTCCTCCGCCTCCGCCTCACCTCCCCACTCGCCCAAACTCAAAAACTCTTTCGACAAGCCTCTGCCCACCTTCTGTGCCTTCATAGTTTATTTCTTTCCCATCATCTCTTTCGTTCCCATCATCTCTTTCGTTCCCATCATCTCTTTCGTTCCCATCATCTCTTTCGTTCCCATCATCTCTTTCGTTCCCATCATCTCTTCCATTCCCATCATCTCTTTCGTCCCCATCATCTCTTTCGTTCCCATCATCTCTTTCGTTCCCATCATCTCTTTCGTTCCCATCATCTCTTTCGTTCCCATCATCTCTTTCGTTCCCATCATCTCTTTCGTTCCCATCATCTCTTTCGTTCCCATCATCTCTTTCGTTCCCATCATCTCTTTCGTTCCCATCATCTCTTTCGTTCCCATCATCTCTTCCGTTCCCATCATCTCTTCCGTTCCCATCATCTCTTCCGTTCCCATCATCTCTTTCGTTCCCATCATCTCTTTCGTTCCCATCATCTCTTTCGTTCCCATCATCTCTTTCGTTCCCTCCCACCATGCCTGCCACATTACCTTACGCCACACTCCAGCGAACTCCTCTGCATGTCTCTCAACTGCTGCTTCTCCACCTACTCACACCCTCTCCACCCGCTTAGACATGAGCACAAGGGCGAACACCTGTTCGGTTCGCCTCGAACGTGTTCGAGGCGAACCGAACAGGTTTGTTTTTTTTGCTTAAATTGTTCGCCGAACAGTGTTCGATGTTCGCCCGAACACGTTCGTGTTCGGGCCGCTGCTGCAATTTGCCCCGCGACGAACACGAACGTGTTCGAGGTTCGCCCGAACACGCCTTCACAGGCGAACGGCGAACACGAGTTTTTGCTTAAAGTGTTCGCCGAACCGAACAGTGTTCGGTTCGGCAAACGGATGTGTTCGTCTAGGGGCGAACACGAACATGTTCGTGTTCGCCCCTTGCTCATCCCTACACCCGCTCATATCAATCAATCAAATCAACCCCTTGTGTGTATCGAATCAAATCGCCTCGCCCCTCATCATTCACCCTCATGTCATGTGCCGCGCTCATCATCCACCCTCATGTCATGTGCCGCGCTCATCATCCACCCTCATGTCATGTGCCACGCTCATCATCCACCCTCATGTCATGTGCCGCGCTCATCATCCACCCTCATGTCATGTACCGCGCTCATCATCCACCCTCATGTCATGTGCCGCGGTCATCATCCACCCTCATGTCATGTGCCGCGCTCATCATCCACCCTCATGTCATGTGCCGCGCTCATCATCCACCCTCATGTCATGTGCCGCGCCCATCATCCACCCTCATGTCATGTGCCGCGCTCATCATCCACCCTCATGTCATGTGCCGCGCTCATCATCCACCCTCATGTCATGTGCCGCACGTGCATGCATGCGTGCATCCCTCTCAACGGCAGGCCATCATGGCTGCCTTGGCTCTCTTCGCCTGGTGCATCCACGAGCGCTCTCGCGCTGATGCTCTACAGGTGAGCTTCCTTTCCTTTCTTCCACCACATGCATGCCATGCCACCTTCAATGATAGAAAGGCGATGCCACCTTCAACGAGCCGATCCAATGCAGTGCAGTGCGGTGTGGAGTCCATTGTCCTCTCTTTCATCCCCTTAACTCTCCTCCACTCCGTATGCTGGTGCTGCTGACCCCACCCGCCCGCCACCCACTCCCCCCCACCCACCACCACCCATCTCCCACCCCTGACCACCGACCACTACCCCTCACCCCTCACCACCCACTGTTTGCTCTGCCTTCTCTCCTCCAGTTCCACCTGCGAGTGCTCATAGAGCGGCAGCACCGCATCACACAGCGCCTGCACTCTGGTGCATGGGGGGCTAGTAGTGCTCCCACCTACCACCCACCATCCCTCACCACCCTCTACTATTTCCACCTCCCCCCTTCCCCCCCAGTTCCACCTGCGAGTGCTCATAGAGCGGCAGCACCGCATCACACAGCGCCTGCACTCTGGTGCATGGGGGGACAGTGGCAGCAGCACCACCGGCAGCAGCAGCAGCAGCACTGGAAGCAGCAGCAGCAGCAGCAGTAGTGGGGCGGCATGGTGGGAAGACATGGTCATGCTCCCCACTGGTGGGCGGGCGGCGACAGCTGGCATCTTGCTGCAGCCAATCAGAGGCGAAGGAGGAAGTGGGGAAGGAGAGGGGGAGAAGGAAAGATGCGGTAGGCGTGAGAGGGTGGGAGACAGTAGCAGGGGGAGGGAGCGAGGGAAGGAAGAGGAGAAAGATGTGGAGGAGGAGGAAGGGGAAGGTGGAGGAGGAGGAAACCCGGAGGGTGACGAAGTGGTGTGGCGGCGTTTGGCTCTATTCACCTCGCTGCTCTGCTTCCTCCTCCCTCTAGTGCTCGCCAAACACATGGACAGGATCGCTGCCTTCCTCCACCTCGACCCCCCCAAAACCGAGCAAACACCCGTCACCCCCGCACTGAGCCACTTGTCACCGCACCACACCGCAGCACAGCAGCACAGGCGGGGCGGTGCAGCAGCAGGGGCACTGCTAGGGGCAGCGGGGGGCGGTGTGAGCAGCCCTGGACTAGCCCATGGGAACCGGCAAGGCGGGGTGCCGGGGGTGCATGGGCAGGGGGCTCCGGGGGCCCATGGGCAGGGGGGGCATGTGCAGGGGGGGCATGGGCAGGGGGAGGAGGTGGCAGCAGCGCCGTTCAGCAAGCGCCTGGCGTACCGAGTGGATGTGCTCTTCTCCACTCACTCCTATGTCAAGAGCCTTGCTCTGCTCACTGCCACGCTCGTGCTGTGAGTCGCCTCCCTCTGCCTCTCCTGCAGTTAGTCGCCTCTCCCTTTGTCTTGGGCCATGCTCCTTCACGCCTGCCGTACCGTACCGAGTGGATGTGCTCTTCTCCACTCACTGCCACTCGTGCTGTGAGTCACCTCTCTCCGCCTCTCGTGCTCTCAGCTCTCTCTCCGTCTCTCTGTCCTGCTTTGCATGGAGCGTGCCAATCTTGCCATGCATGGCATTCAGCCCAGCCCGTGGCTCCAAATCCCCCCTTTTGAGTCGACTCAAAAGCAGCCCAGCCCGTGGCTCCAAATCCCCCCTTTTGAGTCGACTCAAAAGCAGCCCAGCCCGTGGCTCCAAATCCCCCCTTTTGAGTCGACTCAAAAGCAGCCCAGCCCGTGGCTCCAAATCCCCCCTTTTGAGTCGACTCAAAAGCAGCCCAGCCCGTGGCTCCAAATCCCCCCTTTTGAGTCGACTCAAAAGCAGCCCAGCCCGTGGCTCCAAATCCCCCCTTTTGAGTCGACTCAAAAGCAGCCCAGCCCGTGGCTCCAAATCCCCCCTTTTGAGTCGACTCAAAAGCAGCCCAGCCCGTGGCTCCAAATCCCCCCTTTTGAGTCGACTCAAAAGCAGCCCAGCCCGTGGCTCCAAATCCCCCCTTTTGAGTCGACTCAAAAGCAGCCCAGCCCGTGGCTCCAAATCCCCCCTTTTGAGTCGACTCAAAAGCAGCCCAGCCCGTGGCTCCAAATCCCCCCTTTTGAGTCGACTCAAAAGCAGCCCAGCCCGTGGCTCCAAATCCCCCCTTTTGAGTCGACTCAAAAGCAGCCCAGCCCGTGGCTCCAAATCCCCCCTTTTGAGTCGACTCAAAAGCAGCCCAGCCCGTGGCTCCAAATCCCCCCTTTTGAGTCGACTCAAAAGCAGCCCAGCCCGTGGCTCCAAATCCCCCCTTTTGAGTCGACTCAAAAGCAGCCCAGCCCGTGGCTCCAAATCCCCCCTTTTGAGTCGACTCAAAAGCAGCCCAGCCCGTGGCTCCAAATCCCCCCTTTTGAGTCGACTCAAAAGCAGCCCAGCCCGTGGCTCCAAATCCCCCCTTTTGAGTCGACTCAAAAGCAGCCCAGCCCGTGGCTCCAAATCCCCCCTTTTGAGTCGACTCAAAAGCAGCCCAGCCCGTGGCTCCAAATCCCCCCTTTTGAGTCGACTCAAAAGCAGCCCAGCCCGTGGCTCCAAATCCCCCCTTTTGAGTCGACTCAAAAGCAGCCCAGCCCGTGGCTCCAAATCCCCCCTTTTGAGTCGACTCAAAAGCAGCCCAGCCCGTGGCTCCAAATCCCCCCTTTTGAGTCGACTCAAAAGCAGCCCAGCCCGTGGCTCCAAATCCCCCCCTCCCCCTCTTCCTCCTCCGCAGCCCCCTTAACTCATCCCTTCCAACTCCCCTTGTCCTGTCTCCCTTTTTTCCGCCCACCCTACCGCCGCTCAATCCCGCCGCCCGCCGCCCGATCTCGCCCCGTCCAGCATCGCGGTGGGCGGCCTGGCCCTGTACGCAGTGAGTGGCAAGGAGCGTCTTGTTCTGGCCGACGCCACGTGGCGGGCCTGGACCTATGTGGCAGATGCGGGTAACCACGCGGACAGCGAGGGCGTGGGGCCGCGCGTGGTGAGCGTGAGTGTGAGCATCGGCGGCATGCTGGTGTTTGCGCTGATGGTGGGGTTGGTGTCGGAGGGCATCTCAGAGAAGGTGGACTCGCTCCGCAAGGGCAAGAGCGACGTCATCGAGCACAACCACACGCTCATCCTCGGCTGGAGCGACAAGCTCGTGAGTCAAAGGGGTGGGGATGTGGGTGGGGATGGGGATGGGGATGGGGATGGGGATGGGGATGGGGATGGGGATATGGATGGGGATGGGGATGGTGGTGGGGATGGGGATGGTGGTGGGGTTGGGAATGGTGGTGGGGTTGGGGATGGGGATGGGGATGGGGATGGGGATGGGGATGGGGATGGGGATGGGGATGGGGATGGGGATGGGGATGGGGATGGGGATGCGGATGGGGATGGGGATGGGGATGGGGATGGGGATGGTGGTGGGGATGGGGATGGTGGTGGGGATGGGGATGGTGGTGGGGTTGGGGATGGTGGTGGGGTTGGGGATGGGGGTGGGGTTGGGGATGGGGGTGGGGTTGGGGATGGGGATGGGGATGGGGATGGGGATGGGGATGGGGATGGGGATGGGGATGGGGATGCGGATGGGGATGGGGATGGGGATGGGGATGGGGATGGGGATGGGGATGGGGGTGGGGGTGGGGATGGGGGTGGGGGTGGGGATGGGGATGGGGATGGGGATGGGGATGGGGATGGGGGTGGGGGTGGGGGTGGGGATGGGGATGGGGATGGGGATGGGGATGGGGATGGGGATGGGGATGGGGATGGGGATGGGGATGCGGATGGGGATGGGGATGGGGATGGGGATGGGGATGGGGATGGGGATGGGGGTGGGGGTGGGGATGGGGGTGGGGGTGGGGATGGGGATGGGGATGGGGATGGGGATGGGGATGGGGGTGGGGATGGGGATGGGGATGGGGATGGGGATGGGGATGGGGATGGGGATGGGGATGGGGATATGGATGGGGATGGGGATGGTGGTGGGGATGGGGATGGTGGTGGGGATGGGGATGGTGGTGGGGTTGGGAATGGTGGTGGGGTTGGGGATGGGGATGGGGATGGGGATGGGGATGGGGATGGGGATGGGGATGGGGATGGGGATGGGGATGGGGATGGGGATGGGGATGGGATGGGGATGGGGATGGGGATGGGGATGGGGATGGGGATGGGGGGTGGGGGTGGGGATGGGGGTGGGGGTGGGGATGGGGATGGGGATGGGGATGGGGATGGGGATGGGGGTGGGGGTGGGGGTGGGGATGGGGATGGGGATGGGGATGGGGATGGGGATGGGGATGGGGATGGGGATGGGGATGGGGATGCGGATGGGGATGGGGATGGGGATGGGGATGGGGATGGGGATGGGGATGGGGGTGGGGGTGGGGATGGGGGTGGGGGTGGGGATGGGGATGGGGATGGGGATGGGGATGGGGATGGGGGTGGGGATGGGGATGGGGATGGGGATGGGGATGGGGATGGGGATGGGGATGGGGATGGGGATATGGATGGGGATGGGGATGGTGGTGGGGATGGGGATGGTGGTGGGGATGGGGATGGTGGTGGGGTTGGGAATGGTGGTGGGGTTGGGGATGGGGATGGGGATGGGGATGGGGATGGGGATGGGGATGGGGATGGGGATGGGGATGGGGATGGGGATGGGGATGCGGATGGGGATGGGGATGGGGATGGGGATGGGGATGGTGGTGGGGATGGGGATGGTGGTGGGGATGGGGATGGTGGTGGGGTTGGGGATGGTGGTGGGGTTGGGGATGGGGGTGGGGTTGGGGATGGGGGTGGGGTTGGGGATGGGGATGGGGATGGGGATGGGGATGGGGATGGGGATGGGGATGGGGATGGGGATGCGGATGGGGATGGGGATGGGGATGGGGATGGGGATGGGGATGGGGATGGGGGTGGGGGTGGGGATGGGGGTGGGGGTGGGGATGGGGATGGGGATGGGGATGGGGATGGGGATGGGGGTGGGGATGGGGATGGGGATGGGGATGGGGATGGGGATAGGGATGGGAATGGGGGTGGTGATGGTGATGGGGATGGGGATGGGGATGGGGATGGGGATGGGGATGGGGATGGGGATGGGGATGGGGTTGGGGATATGGATATGGATATGGATGGGGATGGGGATGGGGATGGGGATGGGGTTGGGGATATGGATATGGATATGGATATGGATGGGGATGGGGATGGGGATGGGAGTGGACAACCTGGTGAGTCTGGTTTGGAGTGTCGAGTCTTCATTGCGTCGCATCGAATGGGATGGAGGCGGCACTGGTGAGTGACGTCATTGCACCAGTTTGAGGGTAAGAGCGTCGTCATCGAGTGCAACAACACACTCATTGTGCCTCCTACCTTCTCTCTACCCCCCCGCCTTCCCCCCCCCCCCCCCTCTCGTCTCCTCCCAGGCGTCGCTGCTGAAGCAGCTGGCAGTGGCGAATGAGAGCATTGAGGGGGGGGGGGGGGTGTGGCGGTGGTGATTTTTGTTGATCCCGTGTTTCTCTCTGTCTCCCCAATCGCCCATGCCCCTCATGCCCATCCCCACACCCGCCCAGGCGTCGCTGCTGAAGCAGCTGGCGGTGGCGAATGAGAGCATGGGGGGGGGCGTGGTGGTGGTGATGGCGGAGAGGGACAAGGAGGAGATGGAGAGCGAAATCTCCAAGATGGAGTTCGCCTTGAAAGGCACCTCCGTCATCTGCAGGTGCGCTCTCTCTTGGATGAGGCCGTTTCCGATCAGTATACTGTGTAGCTGTAGCTAGCATTCTGTCGGCACGGAATCACCAAGGAGGACAAGGAGGAGATGGAGAGCGAGGTCGCCAAGATAGAATTCGCCTTGAAAGGCACCTCCGTCATCTGCAGGTGCGCTCTCTCTTGGATGAGGCCGTTTCCGATCAGTATACTGTGTAGCTGTAGCTAGCATTCTGTCGGCACGGAATCACCAAGGAGGACAAGGAGGAGATGGAGAGCGAGATCGCCAAGATAGAATTCGCCTTCAAAGGCACCTCCGTCATCTGCAGGTGCGCTCTCTCTTGGATGAGGCCGTTTCCGATCAGTATACTGTGTAGCTGTAGCTAGCATTCTGTCGGCACGGAATCACCAAGGAGGACAAGGAGGAGATGGAGAGCGAGATCGCCAAGATAGAATTCGCCTTCAAAGGCACCTCCGTCATCTGCAGGTGCGCTCTCTCTTGGATGAGGCCGTTTCCGATCAGTATACTGTGTAGCTGTAGCTAGCATTCTGTCGGCACGGAATCACCAAGGAGGACAAGGAGGAGATGGAGAGCGAGATCGCCAAGATAGAATTCGCCTTCAAAGGCACCTCCGTCATCTGCAGGTGCGCTCTCTCTTGGATGAGGCCGTTTCCGATCAGTATACTGTGTAGCTGTAGCTAGCATTCTGTCGGCACGGAATCACCGAGGAGGACAAGGAGGAGATGGAGAGCGAGATCGCCAAGATAGAATTCGCCTTCAAAGGCACCTCCGTCATCTGCAGGTGCGCTCTCTCTTGGATGAGGCCGTTTCCGATCAGTATACTGTGTAGCTGTAGCTAGCATTCTGTCGGCACGGAATCACCAAGGAGGACAAGGAGGAGATGGAGAGCGAGATCGCCAAGATAGAATTCGCCTTCAAAGGCACCTCCGTCATCTGCAGGTGCGCTCTCTCTTGGATGAGGCCGTTTCCGATCAGTATACTGTGTAGCTGTAGCTAGCATTCTGTCAGCACGGAATCACCAAGGAGGACAAGGAGGAGATGGAGAGCGAGATCGCCAAGATAGAATTCGCCTTCAAAGGCACCTCCGTCATCTGCAGGTGCGCTCTCTCTTGGATGAGGCCGTTTCCGATCAGTATACTGTGTAGCTGTAGCTAGCATTCTGTCGGCACGGAATCACCAAGGAGGACAAGGAGGAGATGGAGAGCGAGATCGCCAATATAGAATTCGCCTTCAAAGGCACCTCCGTCATCTGCAGGTGCGCTCTCTCTTGGATGAGGCCGTTTCCGATCAGTATACTGTGTAGCTGTAGCTAGCATTCTGTCGGCACGGAATCACCAAGGAGGACAAGGAGGAGATGGAGAGCGAGATCGCCAAGATAGAATTCGCCTTCAAAGGCACCTCCGTCATCTGCAGGTGCGCTCTCTCTTGGATGAGGCCGTTTCCGATCAGTATACTGTGTAGCTGTAGCTAGCATTCTGTCGGCACGGAATCACCAAGGAGGACAAGGAGGAGATGGAGAGCGAGATCGCCAAGATAGAATTCGCCTTCAAAGGCACCTCCGTCATCTGCAGGTGCGCTCTCTCTTGGATGAGGCCGTTTCCGATCAGTATACTGTGTAGCTGTAGCTAGCATTCTGTCGGCACGGAATCACCAAGGAGGACAAGGAGGAGATGGAGAGCGAGATCGCCTTTTTTTAGAATTCTCAAAAAACACGCTCTGCAACACATTTCCCTCCCACGTATGTTAGTGTGTTGGCGTTTACCAAAGAGGGTACGCAACCTCTTGGTGAAAGCGAGGTTTCAGAAACGGGGATACACCAACCCCGTGAGTTGATGGGATTGAATTCGTCCCACCAACCTGCATGTTTGCTTGACATTGTAAATGTTGTACAGCCAGCTAGCGAGCAGCGATGACGAGCCGCACTGGATCTCTTGTTTCTTGGTTGAGTGCTGGGCACGGTAGATGGGAGTAGATAAGGAGTAGTTTCTTTCATGTAACTCTGAGAGCGCTGATGAAGGCCACCGGCCGAAACGCGCGTACGCTCAGGTTTGAATGACAATTTCTTACCTATTCATTCCCTACTAGCCTAAGCTCAGCCTAGAGGAGATTAGGAAGAGATTAGGACGAGTTACCTGTTGGATCCAGGTCGAAACTGTTTTTCATGCTCAACAGCAACAGTGGTTTCAGCAGCAGCAACAGCTATTTGCGACCACTTTTGAAGCTTTCTTGGCAGCACAGAAATTACCACAGTGTTCTACATCTACAGGGAGTGTCTCTTCAAATTTCGGGGAGAAAATCCCGGATGTCTTCCTTAATCAACTGGAGCATAACTGCAAGCTTTTTCGTGATAGGACGGTGAAGCAGCAGAAGCTTGCAACAAAGGTGAAGCGGCTTAAGCAGATGTTTCATGAGGGAAGACTTCCCAAAGGCTTCAAATCAGCCCCTATGACATACTATGGTAATGATCCGGCAATCAAGATGGAGGGAGATGAGGAGTTCAAGAGGCTGGAACGTGATTACCATAAGACATGTTTCGAAACCCTCATCAAACTCCAGGAGAAGGAGCTGCAGAAGCTGACGGCCAGTTTGGGCACAGCTCAGGAAGAGTTTCGCCAGCAGCTGCAGAAGATTCGTGAAATGGGACCTTCAGCCATCTTCACTGAAAGCTTCAGCCACCTGGAACCGAAGCTGCTCACCATGTTCGCGGAACGGATCAAGACCATTACGGTTGAGGAAACCTTCTCCTACATCAATGAGCAAGAAGCAGCACAGCGTGAGACAGAACGCAAAACTTCTGCTAAAACGGCAGCCGAGAATATGGAGGTGGAACCTACAGTGTCAGATTGTTAACAAGTCAAACTCTGACCTTGCCAAGCGACTTGAAGCAGTGGAGAAACAGCTATTCAAGAAGCCGGAAGTACAGAAACATGCACCTCCAAAGGCTCCACAGCAAGCACAGCCAACTGAACAGCAAACTCGACAGCAGCAGGCGCCTCGACAGCAGCAACCACAACCGCAACCCACTAACCAGTACTCGACCAAACCTTCACCCGGCGCATGGACTAACCAGTGGCAAGCTTCTCCCGGTTATGGGTCTCAGGGACCCCAGGTTCCAGATTCTGGATTTCCAAAAAACGGGGGAGGGAGGGGGAGGGGAGGGAGAGGCAGGGGTTGGGGGAGAGGCTGGGGAAGAGGCGGAGGAAGAGGAGACGGATACGGAGGAGGGGGAATGTTTCAGGGCAGAGGCGTTTCATGGGACAGGAGCTGAGTGAGTTGAGTGAACGGGATCTCCAACTCTTCTATTTTGGGCAAATGACGGAATCTCAGCTCAAAAGAAGGGTTAGGAATCGGAGCATCTTCAACTTGAGTAGCCGAAAACTGACAGCGGTTGAAGAGAAAGCATTAGCGCTGGGGCTGAACTTCATCCCGACACCAACTGCTTCTCAATTCACATCTGATGAAGAGGTACTTTCTGCCTATGATTCTTTTTGCCGCAACTTGAGACTGAGAGAGTTCTTTGGAGATTCGGAGATTCCCAAGAGTTTTAGGATTCCTAACCCATCTTGGGATGTTCCTTTAGACAAAAGGAACATGATTCTTGAGAGTGTGATGCAGCAACACAGGGTGGAGCTTCAACAAACTTTGTTGAAGGTTCCTCCTAGGGCTGGCTCAAACATCTCTCCCATGGTGAGGCGTGCTTTGAGATCCCTTGCTTCCGATGAGTCGATTGTTGTGAAACCTGCCAATAAGAATTTAGGTATCACGGTTATGGATAGAGGCTTTTATCAGCAGCAGGCACTTGCTCACCTTTCTGATGCGGAGGTTTATAGGCAGGTGGACACCGTTCCCTTGTCTGTAATTTTGGAATCTCTCTCCCACATTCGGTTTGAGTTTCTCCCGTGCCTTCCAAGAAAGACATGGGACTTTTTGGAGAATTCTCCAACCCGTGGCTGGCAACCTGCCTTCTTTTACATCCTTTTGAAGATGCACAAGAAAGTGCCTGTTGGAAGACCGATTGCAGCCTCCCATTCATGGATCACTGCCAATGCTTCGAGATGGTTGGATTGTCAACTCCGCCCCTTGGTGTTAAAGCAGAAGACTTACCTTCGGGACAGCCAGAGTCTCCTCCTTCAGCTCGAGCAGCAGCAGGTTCCTTCTTCTGTGATTCTTTGTACGTATGACGTGAGCAGTTTGTATCCATCCATCCCAATCTTTGAGGGAATTGAAGCTGTGGACAGAATTCTCAACAGAGATAGACATCCTCTTAGGCCGTTGATCATTTCTCTTCTTAGATGGGTGATGTGCAATTCTTATGTACAATTTGATGATGTTGTGTATAAACAGGTTAGAGGTACGGCAATGGGAACCCCGGTCGCTCCTGTCTTCGCCATCCTTTATATGAGCTGGCTGGATGAGGAGTTGACGCGGAAGGTGACCATAGAGCCACTTTGCCATGTTAGATACATAGACGATGGGTTCATCCTTTGGGAGGGGAGTGTAGAGACTCTCCAGGGATTCTTAGGAGCCTTCAACTCCCTTCGGCCCACGATCAAGTTGACGTGGGAAATCAGTGAGGAAAGGATTGCCTTCCTCGACCTTCAGCTCTACAAGGGGGAACGCTTCCACAAATCCAGAATTCTGGATGTGGCTAGCTTTCAGAAACCGATGAATCGGTATCTGTACATTCCCTTTTCCTCTTTTCACTCGAAGGAGTGTAAGAGAGGATTCATCACAAGTGAGCTGAAACGTCACTGCCTGCGGAACTCATCATTCAAGACCTTTTGGGAGAGGAAAGTCCTCTTCTTTGAGAGGCTGAAGGCCAGAGGGTACCCTGACTACTTCCTCAGGCCTATTTTCAACAGTGTCACATATCAAGACAGGCCGGCTCTACTTCGCAGCTGCCAACAACACAAAGAGAGGGAAGTCCCCCAGTCCCTTAAGGTAAGAAGGTGTCCAAGGACTTTGGACTTGGGGCTGGGGGGTTTTTTGAGAATTCTCAAAAAACACGCTCTGCAACACATTTCCCTCCCACGTATGTTAGTGTGTTGGCGTTTACCAAAGAGGGTACGCAACCTCTTGGTGAAAGCGAGGTTTCAGAAACGGGGATACACCAACCCCGTGAGTTGATGGGATTGAATTCGTCCCACCAACCTGCATGTTTGCTTGACATTGTAAATGTTGTACAGCCAGCTAGCGAGCCGCGATGACGAGCCGCACTGGATCTCTTGTTTCTTGGTTGAGTGCTGGGCACGGTAGATGGGAGTAGATAAGGAGTAGTTTCTTTCATGTAACTCTGAGAGCGCTGATGAAGGCCACCGGCCGAAACGCGCGTACGCTCAGGTTTGAATGACAATTTCTTACCTATTCATTCCCTACTAGCCTAAGCTCAGCCTAGAGGAGATTAGGAAGAGATTAGGACGAGTTACCTGTTGGATCCAGGTCGAAACTGTTTTTCTGTGATAGAATTCGCCTTCAAAGGCACCTCCGTCAACGAATTGTAATTGGGTTGTCAACGAATGCGGGCAGGTCCAACTCTCCCTTGCTCTCCCTTACCCTCTTTTCCACCATTTGTCAGGTCCGGCTCCCCTCTCGTACTAGCCGACTTAAAGAAGGTGACACCCAGCACAGCACGGCGCGCCCCCTCATCGTGCTGCCCACTCTGCCTTGCGTCTCTCCTCTCCTCAACCCCCTTTTCCCCCTCCCTGCTCTGCCAGACTGGGCTCCCCTCTCGTGCTAGCAGACATGAAGAAGGTGTCAGTGACACTCCGCACGGCGCGCCCCCTCATCGTGCCGGCGGAAGCTCAGTCACGCTCTGCTCTCACCCCACCCCGCTTCTCTCCTCCCCTCCCTCGCAGGTCCGGCTCCCCCCTGGTCTTAGCGGACCTAAAGAAGGTGTCAGTGAGCACGGCGCGCTCACTCATCGTGCTGGCAGAGGCAGAGAACGCCGATGCAGCGGATGCACGTGCGCTGAGGGTGGTGCTGTCGCTCACGGGCGTGCGGGAGGGGCTGAGGGGACACATTGTGGTGGAGCTCAGTGACCTGGACAACGAGGCGCTGGTGAAGGTGAGGGTGATGAGCGGGGGCAGGGAGAGTAGAGGTGGAGTGTGGCACTGGAATGCCGGGAGGGAGGCAGGGAGGGGCTGAGAGGGCACATTGTGGTGGAGCTCAGTGACCTGGATAACGAGGCTCTGGTGAAGGTGAGAGCAGCATGTGAGGTAGTATATAACAACAGTGTAGTAGCTTACGCGTGGTGCTGTCGCTCACTGGCGTGCGGGAGGGGCTGCGAGGGCATATTGTGGTGGAGCCGAGTGACCTGGATAACGAGGCTCTGGTGAAGGTGAGGGTGATGAGCGGGGGCAGGGAGAGTAGAGGTGGAGTGTGGCACTGGAATGCCGGGAGGGAGGCAGGGAGGGGCTGAGAGGGCACATAGTGGTGGAGCTCAGTGACCTGGATAACGAGGCACTGGTGAAGGTGAGGGCAGCATGTGAGGTAGTAGCCAAGTAGCCTTGTAGCTACAGACAGCGCCACAGACATGAGGGTGACGCTGTCTGTGGCGAGACAGCCGGAGAGGCTGAGAGGGCAAATCGTGGTGGATCTGATCTGAGCGACTTGGATCATGAGGCGCTGGTGAAGGTGAGGAGGTGGGTGGAAAGGGGAGATTATTGGGGCCAGATGGGGGTTGGAAAGGAGGACAAGAAGAGCAGGGCTGTGGGGCTGAGAGGGCACATTGTGGTGGAACTGAGCGACTTGGATCATGAGGCGCTGTTGAAGGTGAGGGCTCACCACCAGGGAGGTGGAAAGGGAGGTGGAAAGGGAGGTGGAAAGGGAGAAGTGGAAAGGGGGGTTAGAAAGGGAGGTGGAAAAGGGATTAGGGGAAGGAGGTTTGAGAAGGCTGAGAGGGCTGCGAGCGCACACAGCGGTGGAGCGCAGTGTCGTAGGCGTAGGCAGCAGCAATGCTCTGTTGCTTGGGAGGGGAAAGTCATTTCTGAACTAGCACACAGCCTTTCACGTGTCCTCCTCCTCTCCCCCTCTCCTGCCTACCTTCCAACCCACCTTCTCCCCACCCCCTTCCCCGATCCCCCCAACCCCACAGATGGTGGGAGGGCAGCAGGTGGAGACGGTGGTACCTGCCTTCTCCCCACCATCCGCCACTGCCTTACCCCACCCCTCCCCACCCCTGGCTCTCTTCCCCCTCCCCCAAAACCCCACAGATGGTGGGAGGGCAGCAGGTGGAGACGGTGGTACCTGCCTTCTCCCCACCATCCGCCACTGCCTTACCCCACCCCTCCCCACCCCTGGCTCTCTTCCCCCTCCCCCAAAACCCCACAGATGGTGGGAGGGCAGCAGGTGGAGACGGTGGTAGCGCACGACGTGATAGGGCGGCTCATGATCCAGTGCGCACGGCAGCCAGGCCTGGCGCAGATATGGGAGGCGCTGCTGGGGTTTGATAACTGCGAGTTCTACGTCAAGCACTGGCCGCAGCTGGCTGGGAAGCCCTTCAGTGACGTGCTCGTGTCGTTCCCTGACGCCGTGCCTTGTGGCGTGCGCATTGCCGGGGATGGAGGGAGGATCTGGCTCAACCCGGACGATGATTATGTGCTGCAGGTGAGGGGGGAAAAGGAAGGGTGCTGCAGGTGAGGGGGGAAAAGGAAGGGTGCTGCAGGTGAGGGTGTGAGAATTGAACCGATGAGTTGATTAGGAATGATGAGGGCTTACATAGTTGGAGCTAAGGAAAGGGGGGTGGTTGGTACCTAGCCAACATTATTGGCCCCCACCAATAAGTTGGGTTGGAGAATTATTGGGGGGTCCCAATAATGTTGGTCAAAGTGGGCCAACATTATTGGGGGGGCCAATAATCCTCCAACCCAACCTTGGGGTCCAATAATTGGGCCAAGGTTGGGTTCCAACCCCCACCTAGGGTTAACCCTAGTTGTGCACCCAAACATTGTTTGGGTGCCTATCTCTATCCTAGGGTTTATAGGATCAATGCAGGATACAGAAGAGTAGTATAATCTAACACAACCCCTTAGCCTGCAGAGATCCTTAAACCTGGATGAGATAAGACAGCAACCCCTGAATCAGTCACCATGGGGGGCAAGGCCCAGGAGGGGCAAGATTGCCGAGTGAGTAGCGCGGTCGAGGGCCTTAGTGAAAATGTCGGCGGGGTTGGAGGATGAGTCGATCTTGCGCACGGTGATGTGGCCATCCTGGACAAGGTTGCGGACGAAGTAGTGTCGGAGCTCGATATGCTTGGAGCGACCATGGAAGACGGCTTCTTTGGTGAGGTGGATGGTGCTAGCGTTGTCACACCAGAGGGTGGGACATGGTTGTGGTGAGCCAAGGTCTGTGAGGAGATAGCTGAGCCAGCGTGCTTCCTGTGCCGCCATCGTGACCGCGTATAGTCCGGCTTCGCAGGAGGAGAGGGCGATGGAGGAGGAGCGGGTGGAGCGCCAGCTGATGAGGCCGCTCCCAAGGGAGAAACCATATCCCTGTGAGCTGCGACGGTCAGGTTGTGAATCTGCCCAGGACGAGTCGCTGAAGCCAGTGAGAACCGGCGGGTCCGCTCCACCAAGGGTGAGAGAGTAATTCTTCGTATGCTGAAGGTAGCTTAGGACACGCCGGGCCGCCGTCATGTGTTCCTCCGTGTGCCTGCCGACACCAACGAACCGCGCCAGAACACTGACTGGGTAGGCAAGGTCGGGGCGGGTGCAGACCATGGCATACATCAGGGCCCCGACAAGCTCTGCATAGGGGTTCGAGGAGTCGGTGGGGGTGGCAGGGGGCGAGAGCTGATGCCCAACTGCAAGCGGAGTGGCGATGGGCTTGGCTTTGGACATTCCAAACCTCTCAAGGACCTTCTCAATGTAGAAGGACTGAGAGAGGGAGATAGTCTTAGCCTTGAGGTCGCGGGTGATCTCCATGCCAAGGTAGTTGCGGACCTCCCCCAGGTCTTTGCAGGCGAGTCGACGCTGTGGTTCGTCCTTGACCTCCTGCATCTCAGCATCTGTGTCGGCAGCTAGTAGCATGTCGTCGACGTAAACAAGAATGTAGAAAGGGGACGGAGCCGTCCGAAGGAAGAGGCTGGAGGCAGCTCGGGAGGGGCGAAAACCAAGCTCGCGAAGGGTGGAAGAGAGCTTGGCATGCCACTCCCGGGGTGCCTGCTTGAGGCCGTAGACGGGCCGCAGCAGCTTCCAAACGGTGGACGGGTCATGTGGAGCGTGAAAGCCTTTGGGGCGTTCCATGAAGATGAGTTCGTGTAGGTCGCCTTGGAGGAAGGCAGTAGTGACATCCATGGAGTGCAGCAGCATGCCGCGTCTGCCGACGAAGTCGAGGAACACCCGAACGACCGGTGGGGTAGCAGTGGGTGAGTATGTTTCGAAGAAGTCAAAGCCGTGCTTCTGCGTGAAGCCCTTCGCCACATAGCGAGCTTTGTAGACAGGGTCTTCGCCAGGGAGAAGCTTGACACGGAAGAGCCATTTGCCCTTGACGACATTGGTCTTGGCAGGGCGAGGGACGTCGATGAAGGAGCGGTTGTGGATGAAGGCGTTGCTCTCCTTGACCATGGCTTCAATCCAGAGCGGTGCGTCGAGGCAGGCAATAGCCTCCTCATACGTGGTGGGTTCGAAGATGGTGGGGGTGCCCGAGAAAAGAAGAACTGGAGTGCCCGCCATGGTGCAGACGATGGGGGCGATGGAGGGCGCGAGGAGGTGGAGGAAGAGGAGTTCGTCGTGGGTGTCTTCATAGTGGAGAGGAGAGAGAGGAGGAGGTAGAGGGGGTGGTGAAGATGCAAGACAGCTGCGCTGGAGGTCGAATCTGAGACATGGAAGTGCTGCTGCTCGGCTGCGTGGTGGTGCAGTCAGGAGCGCGGATCGGTTGCGCAGTGGATCTGGAGTGAGGGGGCTGAAGCGGGGGGGGAGGGGAGTACCGGTGAGGGCGAGGAGGGAGGGGGGGGAAGTCTGTGGGGAACCAAGGATGGGGTCCAGGGAGCGGGTGTGGGGATAGCGGGGAAGGACAAGGGTAGGGGAGGGGCGCCGGGGAAGGGGGGGGGGAGGTGGAGGGGGGGGCGGATTAGAGTAGGGGAGGGGGGAGGGAGGGGAAGGGGGCGGGGGAGGTGGAGTAGGGGGACGAGGAGGAGGAAGGTGAGTTGCAGCGGAAGGTGAGGTAGTGGAGTGGGAGGGGGAGGGGGGGGGTGGGTTAAGGATGTCGCCGGAGGAGCTGGAGGAGAGGGGAGCGGGGGGGAGGGGTGGAGGAGGGGGGGGAGGGGTCATGGCAGGGGACGGGAGGAGGGGCAGTGTGTCAGTCCAGAGAAGGGGCCGGGGAAATGGGGGAAGGGGGTTAGGGGCGGAGGAAGAGGTGTAGTACGGGGTGGCCTCGTCAAAGACCACGTCCCGACTACGGATGAGGCGGCCTGAGGGGGGGTGGAGGAAAAGGTAGTCAGGTGAGGTGGTGTTGTGTCCAAGGTAGACACAGGGGAGAGTGCGAGACGCAAGCTTTCCACGTGCGCGTGGGCGGTCGGCAGGGTGTATGAGGACATACGCCTTGCAACCCCACACGCGCAGAGGGGATATGTCAGGCTTGCTGGAGGTCCATAGTTCGGTGGGGGTGGAGGTGGGACGAGAGGGGTGGGGGTAGAGGTTAGTGAGGATGGCAGCGTGAAGGATGGCATAGCCCCAAAGAGAAGGTGGGCAGGAGGCGTGAACGAGGAGGCACCGAGCAGTTTTGGTGATCTCCCGAACGCGGCTCTCCGCCACACCATTCTGCTGAGGGGAGTGAGGGAGAGTGTAGGTGTGGAGGATGCCGTGAGAGGTGCAGTAGGAGGACAGGGTGCGGTTGAGGAACTCACCGCCTCCATCGGAATGGAAGCGGCGAACAGGGCGACCGAAGTGGTTGCGTGCTTGTTCAGCCCAGGCAGTGATGGCAGCCGGGGCCTCCGCCTTCGTACGAAGGAGGGTGACGGAGGAGTATCGACTGTGATCATCCACCAGGATGAGGAGGTAGCGATGTCCTTGCCTGGTGGGGGAAGGGTTGGGGCCCCAAAGGTCCATGTGGACGAGGTCAAGGGGTTGGAGGGAAAAGGAGGGGTTACTCGTATGTGGTTGTTGCTTCAGCTTGCTTTCAACACAAATTGAGCAAGGAGGGGAGGGGGAAGGAGGGAGGGGGGGAAGGGTAAGGGGGAGGCCATCAAGGAGTTTAGTGAGGATGGATCGGCGAAGGGTGGCAAAGTTGGGATGGCCGAGGCGATGGTGGAGGAGAATGGTGGGGTGTGTGAGATCACGACAGTGACAGGGGGAGGGTGGGTTAGATGCGGGGGGAGGGGAAGGGGCGGGGGGAGGGGGAGGGGGAGGGGGAGGGGGAGGGGGAGGGGGAGGGGGAGCGGGAGGGGGAGGGGGAGGGGGAGGGGGAGGGGGAGGGGGAGGGGGAGGGGGAGGGGGGAGTTCGAGAGGAGGGGAAGGGGCGGGGGGATGGGGTGTGGAGAGTTGGTGAAGGGTGGGACGGGGGATGCGGAAGGTGTACATGTGGGTGGAGGGGCACCGATGGACACGGCAGAGGAAGCGACCGGAGGAGGTGTGAAATAAGTCGCAATATGCTTTGTGACCAGGGAATATGGCGGTGACACCTGAGTCGGAGAGGGCACCAAGGGATACCAAGTTGTTCCGAAGGGAGGGGATATAGAGACCTGTGACAGTACCTGAGGGAAAGAGGGGACAGGGGAGTGTGGAGGTGTAACGGCTTTGTATCGCAAAGCTGGAGTCAGCCCCAAGTATTGTGGAGGGGGTGGAGAGGGGGAGGAGCGTCCCTGCGTCACGAAGGACCGTGTGCGTGGCTCCGCTATCAAGGATGAACTCAAGGGGCTTTGAGGAGGAGGAGGACTCGGAGTACTGGAATGAGGACTCATTAATAGCATTGGCATACATAGGATCATTGCAAGAGCTAGCAGTGGTGACATGACCTATGAAACCCGTGGAAGGAAACGGTGTGAAGCCGGGGGGGTGAGAGGGGGAGGTGGGTAGTTCAGCAGGTGCAGCAGTTGCAGCAGTTGCAGCTGTCCCATGGCCATACAGAGATGGGGGGTAGGGAGGGTAGGGCCAGCCAGCGTAAGGAGGAGGATAAGGGGAGAGAGGAGGATAGGGGGAGGGAGGGGTTTGAGGTCCGAGGGTGGGTGTGGTGAGGGTGGGAGGCGTTGGGGTGGTGGTGGGTGTGGGGAGGAGGTGTTGGACTTGCTGGAGGACGTGAGGGGAGAGGTGTTGGGCGAGGACATTATGGAGGTTGGGGGGAGATGGTGCATAGGCGGGGAGGGTGCGAATGTCATGAGGGGTGGGGCGAGGGGTGATGGTGCTCCAGCGTGGAGGAGGGCCCGTGTTGCCGCGTGCAAGCCATTCGTCGGTGAGAGCTTTGAAGCACGTATCAGTGGGATGGGTGGTCTGGTTGCAGGTCTGACCTTTGTTAGGGCCTTGGCGAATGACATACTGGCACGGAGGGAGCCCACCCGTGGTTGAAGTGGTTGCCCCACGCCCGCCACGTTCCCCAGTGCGCCCTCCTCGTCCACCTCTGCGACCGCCTCCTCTTCCACCACCGCCCGAGCCACGTCCTGGTCCGCCCCCGCTGCTTCCGCCGGTGTTTGTTCCTTTGCGCGCATGAACGGCATTGATGGAGGCAGATTCACGCAGAAGGTCAGCCTCACTGTCAAGGAGCGAGTCGATGGTAACAGCCACAGGAGGAGGACGGATGTGCTGGGAGGTGAAATTGATGCGGTAAGTGTCGTAGGTGGGTGGGAGGCAGTCAAGGATGCGTGCTGTGAGGAGGGTGTCGGAGATCAAGATGCCACGATCATTGAGACGTTGTGCAGTGTCCGTGAGGCGCCGAGCGAAGGAAGCAGCGTTGAGGGAGGAGTCCAGTGTGATGTCTTGGAAGGTGCGAAAGAGGGAGAGGAGGGAACGTAAGTCCTGGCGATCATATTGGGAGGAGAGAGACTTCCAGAGGGAGGGGGAGGATGGGGGGCGAAGGTCACGCTTGAGAGAGGAGGGAACGCATGAGAAGATGATAGTAAGTGCACGGCGGTCAGCAATGCGCCATGCAGCTGTATCGGAGTGGTGCTTACGGAGCTTAGCAGAGTACTCTTCGGAGGCGGCTTTGAATTCTGCAAGTTTTGCAGTGGCAGCTTCGTGATCGGCGATGGCAGTTGCGTGTGCTCTGCTTTTGATGACATAGTCGTCCCGCTCCTTGTTGTATTTGTTGAGCGTGCGAGCCCACCTGTCCGGATCATCCTCCCAAGCCCCTAGGATAGGGGCTTGGGGGGCAGGTTCGGTCGGGAGTGGTGGGGCGTCGGGGGGGGAGGAGCCTGGGAGTGGGGGCGGAGTGGGGGGGAGGCCATTAGGTGTTTCGAGGACAACGTCTAGGAGGCAGTAATCTCCCACTCGAACGGAGCCCAGGTACGTGAAGAGGCTCTCCTCAAACGACACCCAATTGACGGCGGTGGTGCCGTTGAGGAGCTCGAGCTTGTCGATGGAGGCAAGCTCAAGCGAGGTTGATTCGTCGGCCATGAGAGGAGGAGGAGGGAGGGAGGGGAGGTGGACGACACCGTCTTGAGGGACAGAGCGGTCCGGCTGCTCCACGGGCGGTAGCAGCAAACCCTAATTCAGGGTCCGTCGCGGCTGGTGGGCGTCTCCGCGGCGTCCGCGGCATCCGCAGCTGGTGGGCGTCTCCGCGGCGTCCGCGGCTGACGGCCGCGTTCGTCGCGTCCGCGGCTGACGGCCGCGTTCGTCGCGTCCGCGGCTGACGGCCGCGTTCGTCGCGTCCGCGGCTGACGGGCGCGTTCGTCGCGTCCCCGGCTGACGGGCGCGTTCGTCGCGTCCGCGGCTGACGGTCGCGTTCGTCGCGTCCGCGGCTGACGGTCGCGTTCGTCGCGTCCGCGGCTGACGGTCGCGTTCGTCGCGTCCGCGGCTGATGGGCGCGTTCGTCGCGTCCGCGGCTGACGGTCGCGTTCGTCGCGGCGGGCGGACGTGGTGAGGAGAGGGGCGCCGAGATGGCGCGAGGGGCACGGCAGAGTCGGCGGGAGGTGCGCTGAGCGGCGCGAGGGGCACGGCTGAGCCGGCGGGAGGTGCGCTAAGTGGCGCAAGGGGCACGGCAGAGCCTGCGGGAGGTGCGCTGAGCGGCGCGAGGGGCACGGCTGAGCCGGCGGGAGGTGCGCTAAGTGGCGCAAGGGGCACGGCAGAGCCGGCGGGAGGTAGAGTATGGTCCTAGGATCTTGAGTGGCGTTAGCCGTAAGAGCTCTGATAACATGTGAGAATTGAACCGATGAGTTGATTAGGAATGATGAGGGCTTACATAGTTGGAGCTAAGGAAAGGGGGGTGGTTGGTACCTAGCCAACATTATTGGCCCCCACCAATAAGTTGGGTTGGAGAATTATTGGGGGGTCCCAATAATGTTGGTCAAAGTGGGCCAACATTATTGGGGGGGCCAATAATCCTCCAACCCAACCTTGGGGTCCAATAATTGGGCCAAGGTTGGGTTCCAACCCCCACCTAGGGTTAACCCTAGTTGTGCACCCAAACATTGTTTGGGTGCCTATCTCTATCCTAGGGTTTATAGGATCAATGCAGGATACAGAAGAGTAGTATAATCTAACAGAGGGGGGAAAAGGAAGGGTGCTGCAGGTGGGGAAGGCGTTGCAGGTAGGGGGGGGAGTGAGCTGCAAGAGAGTGCAGTTCACGCGGTGTGTTGATTAAGAAGCTGCAGGTGATTCCAGCGCATGTCCTCTTCCCCCCCCAACCACCACCGCCGCTCCCTTGGTGACGCGCTCCATCCGCCTCCACCGTTGACCTGTGTGCACGACCATGAGTGGGATGTCATGTCATAAGTTTACCTTCCCTGGTCGTCCAACTCGTCTCTGTGTTCTCCTTCCCTGCATCCCCCTCTCACCGCTGCCAGCCCGATGATGCAGTGCTGGTGGTGGAGGAGGATGATGAATGACTCGTACGCGCCCGGCTCGTGAGTGACACGCCCGGCTCGTGAGTGACAAGTCACAAGTTTATCAACATCTCACGCCCTCTTTTCCATCGCTCCAACCCTTCCTGACTGCCAGCCCAATGATGCAGTGCTGGTGGAAGCGGAATGCGATGACTCGTATGCGCCCGGATCTGCTATCTGAGAAGCTACTCACTAGCGCATCTCTGTGTTTCCCTTCAATGCAACCCCCTCACAACACCGCCAGCCCGACGATGCAGTGATGGTGGTGGCGGAGGATGACGACTCCAACGTCCCCAGCCCGGCCCGTATGGGGGATGTCAGACGTTAATCTCCACCTCATTTCTGTCTTCCCCTTCTCTCACCACCGCCAGCCCGACGATGCAGTGATGGTGGTGGCGGAGGATGATGATTCGTACGCGCCCGGTCCGCTGCCCCACGTGCGCCACGCCATGCTGCCCGACGTCGTCGTGCCGCCCAAGCTGCCCGAAAAGATCTTATTCTGCGGATGGCGGCGCGACATTGACGACATGATTGTGGTACGGGAAGGGGATTCTATTGGCTTGCTGTGCCATGTGAGGGGGCGTGCAGCATGGCATGGCATGTGAGGGGGCGTGCAGCATGGCATGGCATGTGAGGGGGCGTGCAGCATGGCATGGCATGTGAGGGGGCGTGCAGCATGCCATGTGAGGGGGCGTGCAGCATGGCATGGCATGTGAGGGGGCGTGCAGCATGGCATGGCATGTGAGGGGGCGTGCAGCATGGCATGGCATGTGAGGGGGCGTGCAGCATGGCATGGCATGTGAGGGGGCGTGCAGCATGCCATGTGAGGGGGCGTGCAGCATGGCATGGCATGTAAGGGGGCGTGCAGCATGGCATGGCATGTGAGGGGGCGTGCAGCATGCCATGTGAGGGGGCGTGCAGCATGCCATGTGAGGGGGCGTGCAGCATGCCATGTGAGGGGGCGTGCAGCATGGCATGGCATGTGAGGGGGCGTGCAGCATGCCATGTGAGGGGGCGTGCAGCATGGCATGGCATGTGAGGGGGCGTGCAGCATGCCATGTGAGGGGGCGTGCAGCATGCCATGTGAGGGGGCGTGCAGCATGGCATGGCATGTGAGGGGGCGTGCAGCATGCCATGTGAGGGGGCGTGCAGCATGCCATGTGAGGGGGCGTGCAGCATGGCATGGAGTGTCATGGCATACAGTTGAGTCATGTGTGAGAAATTCCACAGTGGTCTCTTGTGGCATGCCTGCTAACACACAGACAGTGTATGCTATGTTTCTGGTGTTGGTGTTGTGGCATCATCCTGAATAATCTACAGCTCACCTTGCCCTCTTTCGTGTGAAAGCCACAGTTTCCCCTTTCCCCCTTACCCACGGTGATCCACCTTTTCGCCCTTCACCTCTCATCACCCCCACCACATGTCCTTCTGCACCCCGGTTTTTGTCGTTCCCTCTCCCACCCCCCCCTCCTCTCCTCCCCTTTCCAGCAGGTGCTTGAGGCCCTTTAGTGGGGGTGTCGAAGCTGTGGAGCTTGTGTCAGATACGGATGGAGAAATGGAAGCACAATGTTCCTTCTTCAATTCTTCCCTCTAATTGTTTTCGTGTCTCTCTCTGCTTCATTTTCCATCCTTCCCCCCTCCGCCAGGTGCTGGAAGCCTTTCTAGCGCGCGGCTCAGAGCTGTGGATATTCTGTGAGGTACCGGTGGAGGAGCGCGAGGAGAGGCTGATGGAGGGCGGGCTCAACCCGGGCGACCTGGAGAACGTGGCTCTCGTGCACCGCGTGGGCAACGCCGTCATCCGCCGCCACCTCGAAAGCCTTCCTCTTGAGACCTTCGACTCGGTAAGCCACCGTCTAGACTTGGTGCCTTTGACTCGGTGAGCCATGAAGACTGCTTTTGAGGCGCCTCAAAAGTAAGCCACCGTCTAGACTTGGTGCCTTTGACTCAGTGAGCCATGAAGACTGCTTTTGAGGCGCCTCAAAAGTAAGCCACCGTCTAGACTTGGTGCCTTTGACTCGGTGAGCCATGAAGACTGCTTTTGAGGCGCCTCAAAAGTAAGCCACCGTCTAGACTTGGTGCCTTTGACTCGGTGAGCCATGAAGACTGGGCCCCACCCCACGTCCATCCTTCATCAGCACCTGGAGAACGTGGCGCTCGTTCATCGAGGTTCAACGCTGTCATCCGCCGCCACCTTGAAAGCCCCCCCCTCGAGACTTTTGACTTGGTGAGCCTCCTAGCTATATGGTTCAGTCAATTATGAGAGTTCTCACAAGTGGTCTGACACTCAGTGAGCTGCTGCTTCTGAAGTGATCCCAACCTCTCTGAACCTCTCTGAACCTCGATCACGTGTTCTTTCCTCTCGCTGCTCTCTCCACTCGCCCTCGCCCTCCCTCTCAGATCCTCATTGTGGCGAGGAGAGGGTGGAGAGGACTCTGTGATCAAACCGCACTCACACTCACTCACAAGTGCTATTGTTACCTTCTCCCTTCCCTCCTTCCCCTATCTCTTGTCTCTCTCTCTCTCTCTCTCCCCTTTACAGATCCTCATTCTAGCCGACGAAGGCGTGGAGGACTCGGTGATCAACTCTGACTGACTTGTCCATTCTCAAGTGCTGTCCTTACTTTCTTCTGCCCCTCCCGCTCCAACAACCCCCCTTCCCCCATTAGATCCTCATTCTAGCCGACGAAGGCGTGGAGGACTCGGTGATCAACTCTGACTCGCGCTCGCTCGCCACGCTGCTGCTCATCCGCGACATCCAGGTGAGTACTGCACGGGGAAGGTGGGAGGGAGTGTAGATGCTATCTGGGGACGGTGGAAGCTGTGTCAACCATCAACTCTGACTTGGTGAATATTCTAGATAGGCAGGTTTCTTGCCCAACTTGGCCGCCCCCTCAAGCTGGGAAGGTGAAATGAACGCATGGGCTGTTGGAAGTTCACACCCCAACAGTACGTGGCCAACTTCCGACACCCTCCCAGCCTAGTTGTAATCCTGAAGATTTGCCAATTCGAGCCGTTCCTTATCAGCACCTGTGATTCGAACCCTATATTTTCCAGGTAGAACGAACAGTTGGGAATGTTACATTCACCCTTTGGCCGGCCGGATAGAAGGGTTCCAGCTCCCCAACCGCTCTGAGGTGACTTTTGAGTCGACTCAAAAGTCGCTCGTCCAGTGCAATTACTCTCTCACTTGCCCAGGGCAATCACACCCCACCTACGATGTGGTTCTTGAGGTGCCTGTAAATACTCCTCCTGCCTGCCCCCCTCACACCCCACCTCTCCTCACGCCTTTCTTTTTCCTCCTCTCCCTCCTCTTCCCCTGCAGTCCAAGCGCATGCCCTACGAGGTCTGCTTCTCCGGCGCCCCTGCCCGCGGGCCCCCGCGCAACGCACACATCGTGCCCGGCGCTGCTGCCGCCGCCGCCGCTGCCGCTTTCGCTGCTGGCGGCCTGGGAGCAGCAGCATCAGGGGCAGGCGCAGGGGTCGGGGCGGGGGCGGATGGTGCTGCTGGTCCCAGTGGGATCGGGAATGGGAATGGGAACGGGGGCTCGTGGATCAGGCAGATGCAGAAGGCGTCGCAGCAGTCGATTGTGATTTCCGAGATTCTCGACTCGCGCACGCGATCCCTCGTGGCCGTGTCCAAGATCAGCGACTATGTGCTCTCCAATGAGCTCGTCTCCATGGCCCTCGCGATGGTGAGTGCATGGATTGAGCATCAGGGTTGATGGTAGGAGACTTTTTTGCTCCCCTACTCGTGCACGTGCTCGCTCGTGGCAGTGTCCAAGATCAGCGACTATGTGCTCTCCATGAGCTCGTCTCCATGGCTCTGGCAATGGTGAGACACTCCCTTGCTGATAAGTCGAGTTTTGAGTCGACTCAAAACGCGACTATGTGCTCTCCAATGAGCTCGTCTCCATGGCCCTGGCAATGGTGAGACACTCCCTTGCTTGCTCCTCCACCCCTTCACTGGATTCCCGCACACGGTCCCTCGTCTCGGTGTCTAAGATCAGTGACGATTCCAATGAGCTTGTTTCCATGGCCCTGGCTGTGGTGGGTGCTTGGGTTGAGCATGAGGGTCAATGGTACGACATTCCTTTGCTCGTCGACTGAAGCACGCGCTCGTGTCTGTTTCTAAAATCAGTGACTCTCTGCTCTCGCACTAACAAGCTCATTTTCATCGTGACAACCCAAATGTCCTCGTGGCTCTGAATTTGCTCTTCAAACCATGTGCGCACCAAATGCGACCCACCCATGTGACCCATGTGCATGCAGGTGTCAGAGGATCGGGAGATCAACCGCGTGCTGGAAGAGCTCTTCTCAGAAGAGGTATGCTTCCTGCCTGAGAAGAGCTCATGATTTTTATTCCTCTCGTTCTAGCCCGGTCTTCATTCACCTTCGTTGGATGCTATTCTGAACCTCCAAAGCACTGCTCTCGCGGCCACACACCTGATTGTATGTGCATGCAGCCCGTTGTATTCATGCATGCACCAGGGGCATCACCATCCATTCCATCCCCATTCTCAAAAGCCTCTTCCCACATCCCACCAACCAGGGCAATGACATGTACATTCGCCCAGCAGAGCTCTACCTATACGAGGGAGAGGATCTGAGCTTCTTCGAGGTGATGGTGTGTTTTTACGCCACTCTAAACTCCCACTCCACCACCCCTGATCCCATCCCACCAACCAGGGCAATGAGATATACATTCGCCCAGCAGAGCTCTACCTATACGAGGGAGAGGAGTTGAGCTTCTTCGCGGTGATGGTGTGTTTTTACGCCACTCTAAACTCCCACTCCACCACCCCTGATCCCATCCCACCAACCAGGGCAATGAGATGTACATTCGCCCAGCGGAGCTCTACCTATACGAGGGAGAGGAGCTGAGCTTCTTCGAGGTGATGGTGTGTTTTTACGCCACTCTAAACTCCCACTCCACCACCCCTGATCCCATCCCACCAACCAGGGCAATGAGATGTACATTCGCCCAGCGGAGCTCTACCTATACGAGGGGGAGGAGCTGAGCTTCTTCGAGGTGATGGTGCGCGCGCGGCAGCGCCTGGAGATTGTGATTGGCTACCGCCTGGGCGGCGAGGAGGTGGCGGTGCTCAACCCGCCCAACAAGAGTGCCGCCCGGCAGTGGTCGCTCAGCGATGCCTTCATCGTGCTCTCTTTGGAGGAATAATGACCCTGGAAGCGGCGTTTGAGTCGACCCGCAAGGCAGCTTACCAAGCCAAGTGACAAGTCACCCGCCCGGCAGTGGTCGCTCAGTGATGCATTCATCGTGCTCCCTTTGGAGGAATGAAGAATGAGAAACTGCACCGATCGGCAAGGTGACTTGTGAGTCGGCTCACATACAAGCTGACTCACAAGGAGGCCCCCCAACAGGAGTGCTGCCCTGCCCGGCAGTGGTCGCTCTGTGACGCCTTCATCATGCTCTCTTTGGAGGAGTGACTGACCGCTTTTTTAGTCGACTCACACACAAGTCACGCCAAGTGACAGGTCACACTCACACGCGCAATGGCGCCTTTGCCGTGCTGTCCCTGGAGGAGTGGTATACGAGGTGACTTTTCAGTCGCCTCACACACACACACAGGTTCGCTCACGAGTCGGCCGGCCGACAAAAGCTCTGCGCTCCAGTGGTCTGTGAGTGGTGCATCTGTTGTGCTGTGCTGTGCTGCTGATGCTAAGGTGCCTAACAGGTCAAAATTAACACCCATCTGATGGCAGTAACACAAAGTTTGTAATGTGTTCAAATGCTCAGCTATGGCATAATGTATTTAAATGTTTAATAAGGAATAGTGTTTCCTAGGGGGCCCTGCGTGTGCTGTGCACACAAGGTATATTCTAGGCTCTGGGCGATTGAAGTAGACAGGTGGACCTGAAGGCCTGTTCTGTTTACCATACCTGTTTGTTGCTCTTTTTTGTTGGGCTGAGAAAGCCCTTAGGATCTTTGCAGGACTAAACTCTGAGTAGGACAATGTAATAGCGGAAGCGTTTAATGAAAGGTTTGTGAACAGGCCCTCAGATTCACTTTAAGGGACGTTGATGCATCAGGGTCCCTGTGAACAAAACCCTGATTTTCAGTGTTCCTAAAAAAAAACCCTGAATTTTCAGGGTTCCTAAAAAACAAAGCCTGAATTTTCAAGCAAATGAAAACCTTGTATACAAGGGTAGGATTTACGAAACATGACTGCGGAGGGATTCGAACCGGACCCTTACCCGTCGGTAGAAAATCACTAACCACTGAAACAGTTGATGCTCTAAACCGTCAATCTCTTACGTTCTCGTACGTGAAAAACCTGAAAATGTTGGTTGACAGGAAGGATTCGGAATGTGCATTCAGTGTACACTTCGATAAAAGACTGAAAAATCAGTGTCAACTATGAAATAAAGGCTGAAAAATCAGTGTCACAAAATTCTCAACACTGAAAAATCAGTGTAGGTACAAAAAAATCCCTGAAAATCAGGAATTTCAGGGAAAATTTCTTGATATCGTAGGGCCTGATTGTGAACCACCTTGCGCTGGTATATGAGGGCAAAGTCGATTGATTAAGACAAAGAGATACAAGCTTTTATAAGAGTACAAGGGAATATGAAGGGTTATAACTAATAACTGTTTTGCTGTTGCTGTTGCGGTTCGATACAGTGACGACTCGGGAATAACGAGTCAGTTGTTTGTCCTTGCTGTCGCGCTGTACTTGTCAGGTCAAAGGTCGCTGACCTTTGACTTTCACGTAACCTCCAGCAGTTGTTCAACCTCCGAGGGTTGACTCGCCGATGCTTCGCTGTGTTTTGCTTCGCTTATGACTTAGTGCTTCGACACGACAGAGGCGCTTAAGTTACTTGTTTCCAACACTTGTTAAAGTAGGAGCTAAGGCTAAGAAGCCATATCTAGGTTTTAGGGTATATGAAAGAGAAATAGGAGAAGAGTTGATGAACTAGAAAGGAGGGGGATACAAGTAGCAAGCCCAAAAGAGTTATACTCACTTTTGAGTACCCCACTACAGACTAGACAAGCATTATAATCTGACACACCCCCATAGTCAAAGTGGGGTATAATCAGTACAGCATGCAGACATAGAGCAAGAGTTCACAATGATAAGCAAAGCTAGAGGCTATCACAGAGGGCAAGTGAGGAGGAGGAGAGACTGTGGAGGGAGAGAAGATGCGAGGCAACGACTGAAGCTGCAGAGGCACGGGCACAGGAGCGGCTGACTCAGTGGCTACCGAAGCAAGGGCGACGGACTACTGGAGTGACTGGCTCCGCGGCTATAGACGAGCGGCAGGAGCAACGGACCCACTGGCGACTGGTGCAACAGGCTCACTGGCTACCGAAGCAAGGGCGACGGACTACAGGCGCTGCAGGCGACACGACAGCTACCTTCACACAACCTCCCCCAGCTGCCCCACTCCCCTCTCACACACCCCCTGTTCAAACCCTAGCTCCACTCCCACAGCACCCCCCTTAAACCCTAAACCCTAGGCTCCCACACACCCACCCCCCTCAGTGACAGCTGCAGACGTGGGAGACGAGGGAGGAGGAGGAGCAAGGGGAGGAACACATAACCGCCACCCCCACACCCGCCACCCCCATGCTCGGCACCCCACACCCCCAGCACCACGGAATGCACGGGGGGGGGGGGGGGGAACGGGACGGGCTGCAGGTGCGGGCTGCTCCAGGGGCGGCCGTTGCAGGTGCGGGCTGTTCCAGGGGCGGCTGCTGCAGGTGCGGGCTGCTCCAGGGGCGGCTGCTGCAGGTGCGGGCTGTTCCAGGGGCGGCTGCTGCAGGTGAGGGCTGCTCCAGGGGCGGCTGCTGCAGTTGCGGGCTGCTCCAGGGGTGGCTGCTGCAGGTGAAAGGTAGGAGGGAGGGGAGGGGAAGGGCGCGGCCCCCAGGGCGCCCCGACGGGCGACGAGCTAGGGAGCCGCGCGGGCCCCCGAGAGCGCCTCGACGGGCGACGGGAGGGGACCGCGCGCGGGCCCCCAAGGCGCCGCGACGAGGCGACGGTTGGGGCCGGCGCGCGGCCCCCAAGGCGCCGCGACGAGGCGACGAGAGGGGCCGGCTCGCGGGTCCCCAAGGCGCCGTGACGAGGCGACGGGAGGGGCCGGCTCGCGGGCCCCCAAAGCGCCGCGACGAGGCGATGAGAGAGGCCTGCGTGCGGGCCCCCAAAACGCCGCGACGAGGCGACGGTCGGGGCCGGCGCGCGGGCCCCCAAGGCGCCGCGACGAGGTGACGGGAGGGGCCGGCGCGCGGGCCCGCAGGGCACCGTACAAAGCAGGAACCCGCCGCGCGCCTCGGGGCGCACGGCGGGCAGAAAACCGCCACGCGCTCGGAGCGCGTGGCGGGAAGAAAAATAGGAGGTCGCGCGCCACGGGGCGCGCGACACACAGTAGGGCAGCGGAAGCAGGTGGGCCCACAGGCCAGGAGCGTAATGCTCTGATAGCATGTTAAAGTAGGAGCTAAGGCTAAGAAGCCATAGCTAGGTTTTAGGGTATATGAAAGAGAAATAGGAGAAGAGTTGATGAACTAGAAAGGAGGGGGATACAAGTAGCAAGCCCAAAAGGGTTATACTCACTTTTGAGTACCCCACTACAGACTAGACAAGCATTATAATCTGACAACACTCCCCTTCGCTTCTGGAGAGTCGCTGCTGGTGACGTGGCTCTGTCCACTCAGCAGCATGCAATACTCAAACTTCTGCTTTCCGGGTTTCTTGGTCAAGTAATCAGCTGCCATCTCGGACGTGGGGCAGTAAGACAGCTCGAGTCTCCCCTTCTCGATCTCGTCCTTCACGAAGAAATATCGCAGGGCGATGTGCTTCGTCCTGTTCGCGAATCCATTTTTGTTGGCTATGCGAATTGCCGACTGGTTGTCGCAGAACAAGGAGAAGTTGTGTAACTGAGCCAGCTTCGCTTCCTCCAGGAGTTCGCGAAGGTACAGTCCTTCCTTGGTGGCTGAGCAGAGTGCGATATATTCTGCTTCAGCTGAAGAGAGGGCGATTAACTTCTGCTTGCTTGACTGCCACGAGATGGGTCCGATAGGTTCGAGGCGATAGATGTAGCCGGTGTGCGAGCGTCTGTTGTCGGAGTCGCCAGCGTGATCGGCGTCGACGTAGTCGATTAACTTAGGTGTCGAGGTTCCGTTCTTGTGATAGGTCAGGCCGATCGTCGGAGTGCTAACGAGGTAGTGAAGAGCGCGGTCGAGCTCCGCCATATGTTCTGTCTCGGGCCTTTTGAGGTAGGTGGCGAGTTGACTCGCAGAGTACGATAGATCCGGACGGCAGGTGACGGCCGCGAAGAGGAGGCACCCCAGCTTTCTCTGGTAGTCGCGTATGCCTGCGGGCTTGAACAGAGCGGAACTTTCCTTGTGATTTCCTGCGGTGTAGCGGTATGGCGTGGAGATGGTGATCGGGGTGAGTCCGAAGCGTTTGGCGATAGTGTCGGCATATTTCGCGGCGTTGAGATGGATCGCGCCTTCCTCTTCCTGGATGTTAAGGTCAAGGTATTGCGTGACGGTTGATGACACTGTGAGAGTGAGGTCCTGCTGCAGTTCCCCTTCGAACCAACTAGTGATGCCGTCGGTCGAGCCGATGTAAAGCAGGTGGTCCACGTTGTCAGAATATTATGTTTCTCTAGTCTGCAGTGGGGTACTCTATAGTGAGTACAGCCCTTTTAGGGTTTGCTATATGTATCCCAATGTTTGCTAGTGAACCCCCCCTTCTCTCATTCATTCCTCATTTCTTCACATGGTATAGAGCTGGTTCCCTCCTGGGACTGTTCCTTCCTTGGGCCCACCACTGAAATTTTTTTTCGGCCCCGTCGCCGCCCCTAGCGGCCCCGTCGCCGCCCCTATCGGCCCCGTCGCCGCCTCCAGCGGCCCCGTCGCCGCCTCCAGCGGCCCCGTCCCCGCCCCTTGCGGCCCCGTCGCCGCCCCTTTCGGCCCTGCCTCGACCCTGCCCCGGCCCCGCCCCGGCCATGCTCCGTCGCCTGTCGCGGCGCACCGGGGACCCGTGCACCGCCCCCCCGGCCCCCTCAGGTCGCCTCGACAGGCGACGGGAGGGGCGACCTGGGGGGGGGGCGAGCGTCGCCCCTTCTGCCGCCTGTTTTGGCGCCCTGGGAGGCCGCGCGTCGCCCCCCCCCCCCCCCCCCCGTAACCTCCCTACCCACCGTCCCGCCCTGCCCTGT